AAGGCAGACGCTTAACCATCTGAGCCACCCAGGCGCCCGTGAAGGTGTATTGTATATAGTTCTGTAACACCACTGGTATTGCTACTATATTGAAATTGGTCTTAATTTAACTTCTCCACCAGTGTACTCTAACACCCAGTATTGTTACTGATACATGACACTTAAACAGTTGTATTGAATTAATGCATGAGTGTCCACTACTAAGTAGTAATTCACATGATACTTCTATTCACAAAATAATAAGAATTTTTTGAGGTTTAATCTTTGGGAATTGTGGAGACATTTCATTTTGAGACTCTACTCTACCCAGTCCAAATAAGTGTAGGTTATATTAGCTCTTTCACTGATCATTTCATCTCTCTGACACACATGTAAAAAATGTTCAGCTTGGGCATGAACTACCTACTACAGAGACCTAGTTATAATACCACCAGTAAGCATATAAGACAGAACGCAAATATTCAGTGACTCATGTGAGATCTCACCATAGGTCCAAATGTACACTAATAAATGCAGCTTTGGTTCTTGTAATCATTCCGGATGAAAACACCTCCGGGGCTTAGAAAATGTTTATGACTTCTTAAAAGTCCTTTTCCCAAGAACTGAGGTCATTTTGTCCATATCTAGATTTATGTTAACATTTGATATTTTAGTATATGAGCAGATTGTGAGATTGTGCTCTCAGTCAGGGGAATACATTACCTAGGAGCTAACATGCAAATTCTAGTCTGGAAGTCAACTCATATGGAAAGATTTGGTTTATTCTGATTCTTACTACTGCCTCTCCCTACATCCTCTTCCCACTCACAGAAGAATAGTAAGAGGAATTAAAAAAAAAAGTAGACAAAATTATTACCTAGTAATCTAAGATGGTGTTATAAAATAATGAAAAATAAACTATAACATTTATCAGGAACTTCCTATGTGGCAGGTGTTATGAATGTCAATTTAATTTCCCTCTCTGAATGGCCTCCTGGTAAGGCATTATCTACTTTTAAAAGATGACAGAAATTAGACTTAGTCACCTAGCAAAGAAAAAGCATTTGAACCCAGATCTCAAATGATATTTCACTATACCATTCTCATTCTGTGATGTGCTGGGTAAGAATGAAAAGAGATTACTAATTTTTATCGGATACTCAAAAACTCCTTGTTTTTGTATGCAATTTCCATAATTAATTCTCCTGTGCTGTTGTCAGTTAAAGCACTACAACTTTTGCAGAACCAAAATTTATTGGTACTTTATAAATAATTGGATGATGAGGCAGCCTCATTCAGAATTAGTTAAAATTTTAGTTAAATTAGATTTCTTGCTTTGTAGGGAAATAAAAATTGTGCTTTGTGATTTATCCCAGCAAGGCACTGAGGTGGCTTTGAAAATAGAACACCTGTAGTAAGTCCTGGCTCCATCATTTCTAATGAGAGGCTTTAGCCACCTCACATAATCTAAGTATCAGTTTCCTTAGCTGTAAAATGGGGATAAGGTTAAAATTTATATCCCGGGATTTGTAAGGCTCAAAAGAGATCATGTATGTAGTACACTTGTTTCCCAACTCGTTTGCATACTGGAATCACTTGGAGAGCTTCGAGAATGACCTTATGCCTGTATCCGCCACCAGGTATCATGGCTTAATTGGTCTAGTGTGTGACCTGAGATTTAGAGGTTTAACAAGATCCCCAGGATAAGTAAGGCATCTACTGTTCTAACACACCGATGTGCACTGTGTCTTAACATATAATGGCTCTGTTATTATAGATAACACCAGATATGTAACCTTGAGGAGTGATCAGCCTGTCTGAAATGGAGTTTCAACATATGTAAGGTAAAAACAAAGACATGATTATATTTACTAGATGCCCAGCAAAATGCCTGGGTAGGAGCACAGAGAATAAATGTTATCCCTGCCCCCCCCCCCCCCCCCCCCACCGCCCCGAGGCTCTCCAAGGTGGCTCCAAGTGAAGGATGCCTTCCCTTACCCAGCACCAGCCTGGTGCGGTAGCCGGGAAGGAAGGGCCCGGTCTGCAGGTGAGCCCAGGTGGCCAGCAGCTCCTGCGGGAGCCTCATCAGCTGGTTGTTGGAGAGGTCGAGGAAAGTGAGGTTCCCCAGAAAGCGCGCGGCCTCGGGCGGCACGGCGGAGAGCCGGTTGGCTTGCAGGTCCAGCAGCCGCAGCTGGGGGGCGTCCTTGAGCGCCGCCCAGGGGAAGGCGGCCAGGCGGTTCCCGGGCAGGCGCAGCTCGCGCAGGCGGCGCAGGCCCCGCAGCATCAGGGCGCTGAGCTCGCTGAGCGCGTTGTAGGGCAGCCACAGCTGCTCCAGGCGGCCCAGCGGCCTGAAGGCCTCCCCGGGCACCCTGCGAATGGCCGTGCGCTCCAGGCTCAGTCTGGAGGTGTCTGGAGGGACGGACGCGGGGGGCAGGGTCATGTCCGGGTCGTTGCACACCACCGTCCTGGTCACAGAAATGGGGGACATTGGAGCGACGGTCCTGTCGGGTCCGAGATCCCCCCCTTCCCCCGCTCACTCCCGGACTTCCCTTCACGAGGCCTCCTGTTCTGCACGGAAGACCGGACCCCAGAACCCAGGCTCCAAGCTGCGGTGGGCCCTGGACATGGGCCAGGAACAAGCAGCCTCCTGATTTCCCTTCTCGGACGGGTGGGGGACGGTTCTTGCTTTCAGACCCTTGCACGGGGGTCCCAGAGGGCCCTTTGGTCTCATCACTGGCCTGAAGCTTAAACTGTTATCTCCCATTGCACCTCACACCACCTGCCGTGCACTAAGAATGAAGAGTGTTCATAAATCCTGAGATCATTTTGTGCATTGCAGCACTGCACATAGGTGTTAAAAGTGTTCCTTTGTTAAATTATACCTCAGTTTTGGTGACTGCTTTGGCTTCTCTTCATTAAAAAAATATAAATATAAATTCAAATATATATATAGATATATATCTATATATATCTATCTCAGCGGGCGTCAGAAATGGAAGCCATACACTGGGTACCTCAAGACTCCCCTGACTCAGGGACCAGAGATGATTAAAGCGTTTAAGAGCTAGGACTTTGCGCCCGCAGGTGGATTTATATCTGGGCTCTCTGTTTGCTGGCTATGTGTCCTTGAGTATATTATATAACTTCTATTTCCTCGGTTTCCAGTAATAGACTCCACCTCACAGGGTGGTTTTGGGGGTTAAATGAGGTCATGTTGTGTACCCGCTCTGCCTATCTGTCACTGGTAGGAGTGCAAAGCTATTTATTGACCATTATCACGAATTTTGGTATTCCAGCACTGTAAGCTCCTTGCAATGATCCCTCAGCCCAGACAGTAACTTCCTAAACCTTTTTCTACTAAGCGCTGGATTCTAAGACCAGGTCTGTCACCGATGCTGTGTGACTTTGAGCCCTGTGCTTTCTGTTGGAGGTAGGGGCAGTAGAGGCTCTTCATCATCCTGGTCACACTGTCCCTCACCACGAGCTATCTCCTGGCCTGCTCAGGGCTCAGCCCTGGCTTTCCTTGGGGAGAGGATCCTTACGTCTGATGATCCATATGAGTTAGAGCATCAGAGACTTAGGTCAAGAATGGAGTTCTTCTTGTTTTTCAGACCACATGGGGTATCCTTTGTTGGGGGTGACTCTCCATTCTCTCCATCCCCTCACACCCAATCGACACAACACCCATTACCAGGATCATTATAAGAGTCACACTGATAACTTGCTGCCCTGATCAGAAGACAAGGGGAGAAAGGGAGAATGCAATGCCAAAATGTTGAAAAGATGGTAGGAAAGGCCCTGCGCCAGGAGCTAAAATCCCTGAGCAAGTCAGGAAATGCAGTGGTCATTAGTGGATAAGTTGAAGATGTCAGGAAAAAGATGGTGTAAAGACTGCCAGAGAGAAAAGGGAGAGTGGGCCTTGGTGGAAGAGCGAGGGTCCACAGATCACAGTGGCTTTGGAGCATCCCACGGAAGGGGAGGAGGAGAGGATGGAGGTGCCCTCGGGGCTCAGGTGGGGCTTGGGGAAGTGAAAGAAAAGGCTGAGGATGGAGGGGGTGCTTGCTTGCATGGAATGGGCACTCCTGGGCTTTCCGAGAGCCCACAGAAATGGGTTGAGGCCAAGGCTCCTGGGGGCTGGGCCAGAGGAGCCCCAAAGTGGGGAAAGCATGAGGAGGCAGGTGGTCGCATTATGGGGGGGTGGTAAGAAATACCTGGGATGTGATTGTGTACCCCCAGGAGCTGAGGTAAGAGAATGGAAGCGGCCTGGGAGAAAAGGGTTTGGGGAGACACAGGGAGGATGGTGGAATGGGAGAAAGGGAGGAGAGGAAAAGGAAGAGCGGATGGGGAGGCCTCCCCTGCCCTCCAGAGGTTTCCTCGCCACCAGGATCATGGAAGAGAACTCAGGACGGATTTCTTGCAGTGGGCACTCTTGTGCCCCCCCCACCCCCCATGTGTAAAGGGACTTGGTACTTCCCACGCCCTGCTGGCTGCAGGACAATGCAGAGCAGACCAGCCCCCTAGGACACGGGGGCTCAAGAGCCCAGAAGATGGAGGTCTCACCCAGCCATGTTCTGGGGGACCTGCATCCAGCCCTCCCAACCCAGCCCAGCTGCTACCGAGACAGGGGTGGGCTACCAATCCCACACACCGGGTGCCATACCTGGCCTTGTTGCCATCACCCAGGATGTAGAGGCTGCAGCTGCATTGAGAGGGGCAGGAGCCCTGGGCTTGGGGGTGCCCCCAGAGGGCCAGGAGCCAAAGCATGCCCACTGCCACCCTCATGGCTCCTGGCTCCTCTGTAGCCCGGACAGGGGCCTGTCCCTGGACTGCTCTGTCCTCCCAGCCCAGGAAGCCCGACAGCTGCCCACTGGCTCATCAGCCCCCCCACAACCCCTCCTGAGGCCATCGGATAAACAGGGACAGACTGGGGATTAGGGAGGGGAGCCCTGGCCACAGCACTCAGCAGCTTATTGCTCCTGGAATCACCCAGTCCTGAGGGTGAGGGTGGGGGATCCTCTTCAGTGGCAACGGCCCCTGGCCCAGAGAGGCCAGGGAGTGGCAAGGTGGGGCGGGTGGGCAGCCACCCAGGGGCAAGTGGCTCATGAACTGGCCAGCTCGGCTGTCCACCTGCAAAGTCGCCCCATGTCAGCCAGGCTGTGGAATACACAGACCGTGTCAGGGTGCCTGGGCTCAGAAGATGAAAACAGACCTGGCCTATGATAAGGGCCATTGGAAATTCTCTCCTGTGACAGTTTTATTGGGAGAAAGAAATGAGATGAAGGTGATAAAGACATTAGAAAGAGCCAAGCTCAAGGGTCAGGCTTCAAATCCCAGGGTTCAAATTCAGAGATCTGGGGGAGACCACAGAGGTGTGTTCCATGGACTCATGAACTTTCCCACTCTGCCCAGCAAGCAGCTGCCTCCCTGAATGCCCCCTGGACATCCAGTCTCAGAACACACTGTCCAAGCCAAGCCCTCGTGGGCATCATCATCAATGCCAAAGGTGTGAGGTGTCTCTGTGTGAGGGCAGAGAGCATCCCTCTCCTCTGGTTATCATACTCTGAGGAAAGTCCCAGAGCAGGATCTCAGGAGTTCTTAGAAAAAATACTTTCAGTTTTTGCTGATTGTTGCCTGCCTCCCACCTCGTCCCGTCATAGACATCATCCTTCACTCATTCATTCTTCACGTTTGACCTCAAGGTTCTGCTCTCTGGTCCGGCATGCCCTTCCCGGTTCCTTCAGCTTTTCCAGAAGGTTCCCCAGTCCTTCAAACCTATAGGCTTAGGCAGGCGTAGACCAGTGAGGTGTGACCAAGCAGATACCTAGGGCCCCAGCGCACACATAAAATGCCTAGCTCTGTACCAGGCCTGTTTTGACAATCTTGGCTTCCAGGAAATTTGGTTTGCCTCTCTTCCTCTCTTCCAATCCAGCCAATATGCTTTTCTCAATGTTTCCCACCTGTCCCTCCTCCGACCCAAACCAAAAAGGGCAGCCCTAATTATTCCCACACCTGCTTTTTCCGCCTTCTGTTGGGGATGTCTTCCCATCTCTCTCTAGCCTAACGGAGCTCTACCCTTGATTCCTGGCCCTGTCCTGCTTTCCCTTGTCCCTTGAAGTCTTCTGAGATCTTGTAGGCATGAAAAAAACCTGACATATGGTAATGCAAGATAGAAATTAGGAAAAAGGGGTAACTGGGTTATCAAGAAAGGTTTCCAGGAGGATGGGGGCCATCAGCTCAGCCCTGCAGTGTGGTTAGGCTTGATTAAGTGGGGACCAACAGCAGGAAAAGCACAGGAAGTAAATATTTGTGGAATAGAATGAGCTGCTTGACCCAGAGTCTGGGGACAGGAGGTCGGGCTGTTGTTTCAGCTTCGTTCACAAATCACTCTGTGACCTCAGGTCAATTCCTAACTGCTTTGAGCCTGCTTCCTCACATGAAATGCAAAGAATTCATGGAGTTGCTGTAGGAATCATTCTCAGATCAGTTAGCACAGTGCCTGGCTCCTAGTGGGGCCTAAACATTAGCTATATTGCTGATGGAGCTCCAGGCCTTTGGTTTCTTTATCTGAAAATGAGTGAAATCACTCCAGATCAGTGTTTCTGGGTGTAATTTTCACTGTCAGGCAATGCGTAACTTCTCATTTGTAGGAGCAAGGCTCTTAGCCGGTTGAGGGGCCACTAAGACGTCAGCCCCTCTGTGCCAAGCTCATGCCTTGGGAGACTTTTATGTTTGTGTAGCGTAAATGCCCTGTGGGAGTTGGGAGCTACAGCCCTGGAGGCCATATCCATGACGTATTCTAACCAAGACTTACACAGACCGTGGGAAAAGATGTTTGTTTACCTTGCAAAGGAGGAAACTGAGAAGACCCCAGTGGTTCCACCCCAGCGCACGTAGCTGGTTAATGGCAGGTTCAGAACCACAAACTCCATCTCTGGTCCTGGCTGGGATTCTCTCTATGACAACGGCTGGCTTGCCAATTGTCATCCTTTCCCCTTCACTTGTGAGGACACACATGGAAGGGCCTGGCTCCGAACCAATTCTCAGGCACAGCTGCCGCCTAAATCCCTCTTTCTGTTCCCCACCCCTCCCTTGGTTATGCAACTCTTTTCTAATTTGGCTCTTAGCCACACACTGTTTGGATTCTGGGACCTTAATCCTGCCGGATTGGGCTGAAATGAATGAGAAAGCGTTCCATTTCAGCTTCACAAAGGCTGCACTGTCCAACTGGTGAATGCGTTCCTTCTACTTGGCCAAAAGCACAGTTTAGGGAAGGGGGCAGCAAGAAGGAGCCCAAGGCCTAGCATAATCACGTGCATGTGCCAGCACGTGGAATGGCCCTTTAAAAGGTGGGGCCTAGCTTAAAGAGCCAAAGAAGAGCTGGGCTGGCAGGGAGAAGGGCCCAGCATGGCAGAATCGGGGTCCCTGCCCACCGGCTTCAGCGAGCTGGAAGTGTTGGCTGTGGGGACGGTGCTGCTGATAGAAGGTGAGCCAGGAAGGACCTGGGTGGAGCAGGGACCCAGTGGGATCCCCGATCCAGGCCACAGCTATGGAGTTGACAAGAAGAGGCCCCCAAACCCTACTCCTCTGTGCCTACACTCCTGGGGCTTCTGATGGGTGCACCTGTGGGATGCAGGCTGCAGGCTGGAAGCCGAGAGAGAGAGAAGCCAGGCAAGGCCCAGGGAGTGAGGGACATCTGCCCCAGAACATGACCAAGAGCAAGGTTCAGGCCTTTTCTTGTCCTCCAGCTGGGAGAAAGTTTAACCCACTCCCTGGAAATCCTGCTAAGAATCTCATATAAGCTCAGGCCTCTGGTAGGTTCTGGAGACAGCTCTGTCATGTGACTATAACCAAGTCAGCCAGGTTCTCGGACCCCAAGTGTGTGGTGGTGAAGGTTTGAAGGGGTCCTGGGTGTGAAGTGCTAGCCTCGATAGACACTGAGGATTTAATTTCATTTGCCCCCATCCTCTCTGGCTCCACATTGCTCCCACCATCTCCATTCCCCAGCCCGAAGCATTTCCATTCCAGGGGCTGCCTGACTCCCTGAAGTGCCTGCCTCAGCCCAGAATCGCTAAGATGCTCCCTGAGGCCAGAGCTGGGACTAGAGACAGTGGTGCTGGGTCAGCTCAGGACTAGGTTAATCGGGAATGCAGCCCTTGTTCACAGCTTATCCAGAGAAATCGTCAGCCCATTGCCTCCCCCAACAAGAATGCATAGCGGGGAGGGAGTGGCAGTCACTAGACTGGTCCCCAAGGTCCCCGACACCATTGTCTGTGGGCCCTGCCCCTCTTCCTCTCTTCTAGGAACCCTACAATCCAGCACCCCTCTCAGTCCTCAAACATGCCTTGAAATTTTACCACTTTAAGTTTCTGCACATGCTGCTCCCCTTTTCTAGAATGTTCTTCCACACCCTGTCCTCCTAGTAAACACTCGCAGTTTTTTTTATTTTACATTTTTCTTATTTTATTATGTTATGTTAATCACCATATATATACCATCATTAGATTTTGATGTAGTGTTCCATGATTCATTGTTTGCGTATAACACCCAGTGCCCCAAGCAGAACGTGCCCTCTTAAATACCCATCACCAGGCTAACCCATCCTCCCACCCCCTCCCCTCTAGAACCCTCAGTTTGTTTTTCAGAGTCCATCGTCTCTAATGGTTCGTCTCCCCCTCCAATTTACTCCCTTCATTCTTCCCCTCCTGCTATCTTCTTTTTTTTTTCTTAACATATATTGCATTATTTGTTTCAGAAGTACAGATCTGTGATTCAACAGTCTTGCACAATTCACAGCGCTCACCATAGCACATACCCTCCCCAATGTCTACCACCCAGCCACCCCATCCCTCCCACCCCCCAACACTCCAGCAACACTCAGTTTGTTTCCTGAGATTCGGAATTCCTCATATCAGTGAAGTCATATGATTGACTTATTTCGCTCAGCATAACACCCTCTAGTTCCATCCACGTCGTTGCAAATGGCAAGATCTCATTCCTTTTGATGGCTGCATAATATTCCATGATATATGGATGTGTATATATATACCACATCTTCTTTATCCATTCATCTGTCGATGGACATCTTGACTCTTTCCATAGTTTGGCTATTGTGGACATTGCTGCTATAAACATCGGGGTGCGCATACCTCTTCGGATCCCTACATTTGTATCTTTGGGGTAAATACCCAGTTGTGCAATTGCTGGGTCATAGGGCAGCTCTATTTTCAACTTTTTGAGGAACCTCCATACTTACACTTGCAGTTTTGAAGGCAGGATCCTTCCCCATTTCTCCCTTCCGATGGGGAAGCCAGGGTTCAGAGACCAAAAGGAGCAGCAAGTGAGGGACAAAGCGAAAGCCCCAGGTCTGGTCTGTTGGCTGCCTGAGGTTGCCCCCTCCAGCTCACCTCACCGCTTGCTGTCTCAGGCAGCCCCCGGCTCGTACCTCCACACCCTTTGCCCAGGCTCTTCCTAATGTTGCTGCACAACCCTCAGAGTGGCATTTTGGAATTAAACAGATGTGAGTCTGAGTCCCAGCTCTGCCACTCACCAGCTGTGTGCTTAGGGCAAGTTAACTAGTCTCTCTAAGCCTGTTTCCCAGCTGCACGTGGGGAGGACAGCATCCAGGTGAAGACAGAACGGGAGGACCCTCAGAAAGCGCTCGGCCCAGTGCCCAGGCTGTAATAAGTGTCAGCAGTTGTCGGTGACTGTGACTATTCCAGCATGAACCGTGCTGTGCCTTACTGGTTTCTTCCTTATCTTTGAGTAAGGAAGGGGCAGGATGTGCATCTTAGGGCCTGTGGTATCTGAGAGCCAGCCCTTCTCAGAAATGTTTGACGAGCTGCACCGACAAGGTAGCTGAGCATGAAGGGGGCAGGTTGCTGAGGCTCCGTCCACCCCAGGCCCTGGTTCTGACCCCAGGCGGCCTC